GGAATATATTGTTCAAAAAATTCTGACACTGTGGAAAGACACAATTGTGTCTGTGTTTCTGACATAGCTTGCTCACAAAAGACTTTCTGATGTTAACTTTGCTTTTCCTCTTGGATTTGATATTTCTATTTAGTTGGCCATTCTAACTCCAATCCTAAAATAACCCCAAATGGTGGTTTATAGCCATTGTTTTCTATGTTTAGGAAACTTGCAGAATTGAATGAGGGTTAATGGAACAGATAAAATCAAATTTCTGAGTTCCTAAGTTTAGTAAGCACTACAGTGACCCCACCCATCCTAACCTCCAGGCCTTGTCTTAACAGCCAGCCAGCCTATCATTAACATAATTTTTAAACTATAGGCATAAATAATTTACAACTACATCTGTTTTGAAGTTCACCTTTATATAATATCTCAGAAAATTTATTTCAAAGTATACTTGTGTTATAAATAACATTTAACCTGCATAGGAAACACTAACACCTTAGTAAAAAAAAAAAAAAATCACCTTTGCAGAAAAGGTCTGTTAAATATAAATTGCCTCTGTTCCCCCAGCAGTTCAAGTCACCTTAACAAATTGTCCATCTTTATGTAAAACTACAGCTCTAAAAATGTACTATTAGTAACTCACAAGGGTCCTAAGCACACCTGCCTATGAGACGAGGCAAGTAAGGCAAAAGAGTGAGGTGGGAGGCCTGTGAAAGGACAAGCCTACTGCTTACAGGAATGCCAGCCAAATCCTACCACACATTCTGACTTCTCTCAGAGACAAATCCAGATTTTGTAGAAAATCTCTACTTTTAAAAGGCATGATATAGATGTTTGCTTTAATTTTTCCCAAAAATGAGGTTTTATTATATAGCAATTTAATCTATTAACATTCAAAAGGTAATTAAGCTAGAAATATTAATTTTGCTTTAAAATTTTAATGTTTAACATTATGCAAAATTTTAGAAATAAATAGCCTCTAGTCCAGTGATGATAATCTAAAATATGTTATTATCTAAATGGCATCATAATTTAAATCTTAATGGTGCTAAACTTTTTCTAAAATATGAAACAAAAGATAAATGGACATAATTTTACTTGTCAATTTTAATAGAGTGAAAAATGTGTTACAGAAATTAACTTTTAGTTTTTACAGCAGCTTGACAGAATATGGGAACACAATAAAGATTCATAAGCAATCAATGTGCCACCTCCACAAAATTCATTGTCACAGATAATAAAAAATGCTGTTAGGTATTTGACATTGCTCCTAACTGGGGAACAACAGTAAAGAGGCCATCTCTAGGTTTCATCAATAGCTCTAGTTAAGTTTACCTTGATCCCACAGGGAGTTTTGTTTTGACCCCCTCGAAGACCAGCTATGTAAATCTGGGGCTTGGGCACTCGAGTGCTGCTTTCCCTCTTAGACTGGGTGCTGGCATCTTTGCAAGGGTATACCTGTGAGCTATTTTCTCTTCTCATGTGACTAAGATCAGTTTGTACCGAATGAGTAATTTTCTGACGCAAATTAGCCTAAGTAGAAAGACAAACAGGAATTAACATTTCTGTAAAGAACAAATAATATAAAATATTATCAAGCACTAGTTAATATCTACTTATCATTTCCTCAGTTTACAAAGAAATTAAGCATAGCACTTCTGTATAAAACATTACACCATTAAAAAATCTAGAACATAACAGAAAGCTGTATAACCTTTATTAAGTAGAAAATACATAAAATGTTGAAAATGAGCCCAAGAAAGAACATGCCAGATTCAGAGACAGAATGAGCTTATTTAAAATATATATATTCTAATTTCTTCATTATTATACTTTGAGATTTACAAAGCTTGGACTGTTTTAAGACAAAAATTTAAAGAGTTATACTGTCTTTATAAAATAGACTTTGCCCTAGATTTTTAATATAAAAAGGCCAGAGCCTTTTCAGTTTTGTTTTACATTCTGTTATTCTTCATTTTGTTGGTTCTTTTTATGGTTAAACAAATTACACAAGAGTTTTGGTTTGTTTGTTTTTAAAGGGACTGGGCTTTCTGCTTACAAAGCAGGCACTCTACTGCTTGAGCTACACCTCCAGTCCATTTCTGTTATTTTGGAGATGGGGGTCTCAGGAACTACTTGCTGAGGCTGGCCTCGAACCTTAATCCTCCCAATCTCAGCCTCCCAAGTAGCCAGGATTACAAGTATGAGCCACTGGCACAGGTTTTTGGGTTTTGGTTTTTTGTTCTGTTTTGTTTTATTAGCTCCTCCATTAGTATGATGGTTCAATCCCAGAACCACCAAAAAGGAAAAAAAGGAAGGGGGGAGGATAAGGATTGATGACATTATGGAAAAGGCCAAGTGGGGAAATAACTCAGAAGAAGGCATTAGACAATCTTAAAATGCAAATCTGGAAAGTTATAAATGATGCTAAAATTATGTTACATTGTTCTATAAAAATAATTGTGCATAATTAATTTGTTACCAAAAAACTATATATAACTAACCATTTTATATAAATAATTCAATTTATCAACTCTATGAATAACAACATATTAAAATTCCTGAACCTATGAATAATTTTAGAAAACACTGTTACAAACCAATTTTATTGCTTTTCTTCTTAATTCCCATTCATTCCACTCATATGACCTCACAATTGTTGGTGACAGTATGTGTGTATCCGTCTGAGTGCTACTTTCACACATTGTAATTGGTTTTATATAGTGTTTGTCAATATCTCTCATCTAAAGAAATGAAGTTTTGTACTTAGTATTTGGAAAAAAAACCACTACATACAGGCAACTAAAAATACTTAGCCAAAACTGACAAAAAATACAAAAATAAGATTTTTTACTTGAAAGTAGAGAAAAAAATAAGTTCATAATTAGTAAGTATTAATATTTTAATCATAATTAGTAAGGTAAATGTTATTTTTCTGCATAGTATGGTTTTGTGCATGCTTTAAAATTTGTTTTACTGTATTACTGTTGTACTGGGGATACACTATGACATTTACAAAAGTGCCTACGTTACATCTTAGATTCACCCCCTCTGTCATTCTCCTTTACCCACCCTCCCCCCATTCCTGGAATAGTTTCAACAGATCTCATTTTTCTATTTTCATACATCAATATATAACATTTCCACCATATTCACTCTGTTACATCCTTTCCTTACATCCTCCCCACTTCCACTGGTACCAACTCCCAGACAGGACCTGATTCATGTTTCTGTCCTGCGTTTTTGAGGGGAAAAATATATTTTTGTTTGTTTAAAATATCTATACAGAGAGTTTCATTATGATATTTTGTGTGTGCTTTTGTGAACCTGATGTAGGGGGTGTTTTGGAAGGGGGCATCCCTCATTCCCAAATTCTCAAATGCCACTCCCCATTTTCCAAAATTGGTAACTTAAGCAGATAACTTGTTGGACATAGTTAGAAATAAAAAATAGCTATTAAATAATGGGTTTAAACCCTCTTTAAGACATACCTTTAACTTAAAACTATTACATATATAGCAGATTATTCAAGGTTCTTAGTTTTTTGGTTGTTTTCAGCTGAATATGCTTATTTTCTGCTGGAATGCCCAATATTAAGTATTTAGTAATGCCAGACTGAAAAAGCCATGACCATACTGCATTTGACACTGTTGGAGGGGACAAGAGAGGTTTAAGGAACTAAACCACTGGGTGAAAAAAAAGGAAAGTCTCCTACATGAGTAAGCTAAAGAATATAAATAGCCTATAAGCCAAATAAGAAATCCTAAAGGGAATTATTAGAAAAGACTTAGAACTGAACTATGATTTTTTTAAAAAAAAAACTTCTTTTAAAAGTACAATTAAAGTAGTATACTAAAAAGGAAAATTTATTTCACTACATAAAAACAAAGAAAGGCTAAAATGATGATAAAAAGATAAGCATCTATCTTAACAAGTTAGAAAACAAAATGAAATAAAGAAACTAGATGAAGGGAAACAATAAATGTCAGAGCAGGAAATATGAAATGAAAGCAAACATGAAACAGTCCCAGCACAGCCAAAAGCTAATTTTCTATTTAAACTGAGAAAATAGTCTTCTGGAAATAATAATAAAAAATGAATAATAAGTATAATAAAAAATAAAGAATAAAACAGTTCTCGGCAAATATTATTCAAAATAAAAAGAGAAAAGGCTGAAATATTTTAAGTTAATGACAGGAGACTGAGGCAGGAGGGCTGTGAGTTTTATGCTGGAACAAATAACCCCCACACACACATACACACATAAGATAACGTGGAGATTAAAACCAACAACGGAAGACTGCTGTGAAACCTTCCTGAAAATAAGTAGAAAACTTAAATGCTTTCAATAAATTCCTAGAAAAATAAAACTCACTAAATCTGATACAAAAAAAATAAGAATACTGTACCTAAACAGTATCCTATAATCACAAAAGTAGTTAAACTTAGTTAAATGAATAATTTTTCCAACTAAAGGAAAGAAACCTAGAGAGCTTTACAAGCATATTTTACTAGATAATTTCAATATTAAATAAACTCACTCAGAGAAAGAAAATGTAACACATTCATACTCACTAATAAGACATGTATAACCTTGACATCAAAATAGTAAAGGACAGTAAAAGAAGAAATTCATAGGTCAATCCCATTCAGAAAAACAGAAAGGTAAACCAGGAAAAAATATACTAGATATGTATATATGTATGTGTGTGTGTATATAAATATATGTATATACATATATATTCTTTTTCTCTTTTTGGTGGTACTGGGTTTGAACTCAGGCCTCATGTTTGCTAGGCAGGCACTCTACTACTTAAGACAAGTCCCCAGCCCCTTTTGCTTTATTTTTTGATAGTGTCCCATGTTTTTGCCCTGGTTGGCCTGGAGTGTGATCCTCCTGCTCATGCTTCCCATATAGCTGTGATATCAGGTGCATGCCACAAAGCCCAGTTTATTGGTTGACATGGGGTCTCACTAACTTTTTGCTTGGGCTGACCTCAAACTGCAGTCCTCCTGATCTCTGCCTTTGCCTCCCAAGCCAAGAATATATTTTTAAAAATAAAATAAAACAGAACCAAGTTGGATTGATCCTAGGAATATAAAGTTCCTTTAATCTTAGAAAATAATTCATATATAGTAATTCATATACAGTAATTCACCAATTAAAGGGTGAAAGCCAAACTGTCATCTCAACAGATGTAGAAACTATTTAATATAATTCAATAATCATTCACATGAAAAGCTTTCAGGAAGCAAGATTAGAGGGGAAACCTCTAACCTAATAAAACAAAATCCATGGAAAAAACGACAATGAATGTAGGCTCATCCAGTATGGCCCATTCCATGAGGTGGTGCTCACTCACACTCTGGGACATGAAGAACCACCAGAAATTGCTGTTATCTATCTCATTTCCAGCAGCTTCAAGTGCAATTTTCACCACCAACAAAAGATGGGAATTTTTTATTAATCTTTTAAGAAGTCAATATAAAATTAGAGTTAAAAAAAGGAACTGAAACTTTAGTAACATCACTGGAATAACCTACAGCAGTGGCAGGAGAAGAGATATAATTTAGTTCCTGTGGTTGGTGGTGGTTTTGTAGTCTCACTGTTACAGAAGCTGCATAATTCTTTCATATATATACATATATATTGTGGTAGTGGGGCTTGAACTCAGGGCCTCATGCTTGCTAGACAGTTGCTCTACAGCTCAAGTCACTCTGCCAGCCTCCTTCTGTGCTGGGTATTTTCAAAATAGGGTCTCATGAACTATTTCCCCAGAGCTGGCTTCAAACCTCAATCCTTCTGATCTCTGCTTCCTGAGCAGCTGGGATTACAGGCATAAGCCACCGGCACCCAGATGAAGCTGCATGGTTTTTTTTAAAGGAGCAAAAGTTTGCTGGAGGTTTGTGTTCTCCCAGTAGCAACACAATACAAACTAAGGATGTGGGGCTCTTCACACCACCCAAGGTTTGAATGTGTGATGTTTGATCTTAAGTGTGACAAAAACTGACAAGCAGAAAGCTTATGTACTTGGTTGGAGTAAAATGTCAACCTCAGATGTTTTGTTTTGAAGATGAGACACTACCTTTTACTGAAAACACTACCCAGGTTGAAGCTTTCCAGAAATTACAGTGAATTTCAACTGTAATTCAACTCTTCCCTTATACTCATGAGAATTTCACAAAGTCTTCTCACCAAGGATACCCACACCTGAATTTTCAGGAAGAAACAGGATTTCTAAATGCAATTTTCCAAAATAGAACAGTGTATTGTTATGAAATTTATTACAATATGACATATTGGCACTTATAAACTCAATTTCTCAAAGACTTGGGCAATCAGACAGATGAAACCCTGGAAATTCTGACAAACAAACCTGACCTGGCAGTTATGAATCCGTTCTACATGGAAGATGGTGTTACTGCCAAGGACATCACTCACAAAAAATGTAATTAGCAGCCTAATACCAGGGTCCCTGTTCAATTCTTGAAGGTATTCAGTGAATGGAATGAAATTAAATGTAACTTGTTTGACTATTCACATCACTCTAGAACAAGAACTTTTTAAATATTAACTTTGAAACAAATGTCAGTTAGACATCCTATGATGGCCTGATCAGGGAAGTTGCAGACATTTTCCACCAAGAAAAAATCGTTACCACCCTGTTTGCAGTCAGAGTTCTAAATGTCACACAGTACTTTCTTCATCCCAGAAAACTAAAGTTTGAAGGACTGAAGGACTGAAGAAGCAGCAACAATAGCAGAGTTAATTAAGAAAAGTGAAGAAAAATGCAAAAAGAATATACATAAAGATGGTTTATGCTTTCTGGAGCTTGATGCCACAGGCTGTGGTTTCCAAAAACATTACTTTATAGTTGCAAAAAGCCCTAGATGTAATGTTAATACAATCATTTTGAATGATATACATTATTATATCAATGAACTAGACATCTTGCATGAATGCTTTCTTGTGTTTAAGTATTCTATGTCACTCATGCTGTGAAACTGAAGTGCTTGTAGAAAAACCATTTTGCTACATGAAACTTTATAGCACTTGTAAAAAGCAATTCAGTTTGGCACAATGGAATATTTCTCGGAGAACCATCCAAAATTCCCCATGAGACTTTCTTCTTCATTGACGCTAGCCTCAGCCTAACCATCTGGGACATTAAACTGTTCCCAGAATTAAATCCATTTTCTAGAATGTATTCTCTACTGAGGATATTGAAACCAATTTCTACTTCACACAGATACAGTTTGAAACAGCAAAGTTTTTCTTCTAAGAGTGGTGTCCTCTTAATGTAATAAGTGCAGTTATTCATTTTGTATAGTACTAGTTTAAAATTATTTCTCCCTGCATTTCAGTCCTCTAATTGATTTCCTTCCTCACCAACCCCCTGAAATAAAGCAAGAAATTGGGTTTTTTTAAAGACTTGGGGAAACAACAATTACTCTTTGCAGATAATTGCCTATGTTTTAAAAAAATTGTAGTCAAAATATCAGCAGACTCTCAGATATTAATTACTGGAACTAATAAGAGAGTTTAGTAAGGTTGCATAGTATGAAGTCAATATGCAGAATTAAACTCACTCCCATATATAAACAAAAATCAAAATCAATTCGAAAAAAACCAAAAGTATTTTAAAATAGCAACCAATAACATAAATTCTCTACAAATAAGTCTAACAAAAAATGTATAGGTCATTGGGGCTGGTGGAGTGGCTCAAGTGGTAGAGTGCCTGCC